AACCGTTCTGGTGCCTATTTTCCTTATATTTCCGAGATAGTGATTGTATACCTTTCCTTATCATGGAGCTTATGAAAGAGTGAGGGTCAACGGAGACAGGAAAGATCAAAGCATTATGAAGCCTTACTGGAAATAACAAAATGATCATTTCAATAATGCCTGAAAAAGGACGAAAGTGAGGTAAAGCATAAGTCGAATCGAGCTTGAGTGCCTAAGCGGAGCTGTACCAGAACAAACCAACACAGGCCTTACATTTAAAAGAACGATTTGAAAGCTCAAGCTGTTTGTCTGTGGAAGAAAAAAGGTTTCTGTAGACACTTGGTTCAACTATTCACTGACAAAATAGTCCGTGATTTTGTATGAAATGAAAGATGATCAACTGTCCCTTTCTCCCACAGTGTTCTTTGCACTATTTATTATACCTTGCACTATTTCCGACGAAACCGATATAAATATTTCTAAAAGGCATGCTTTGAATGTGGCTAAAACACTATTAAACAGCAGTAATCGACAACAGCATAAGACATAAAACAAACAGGATATAAATTCTTCGCCAATGTACTGTTCAAGAATGCTAATTAGCTAATCTATAAATCAATCAAACAACATCTCAAAGCAATAACGGGAAAAGAAGGAACGAAGTGTTTGAATGTTCACTTAGATATGGAAAGAAGTATCGATTCATCACCTGTTTGGGTAAAAGTTTATGGCATTCGCTTTCTGATCCATGGTTCAAAGCAACAGTTGTTTACCCTATGATAACAAAGGATTTCAAATCGCCCTTTAAAATTTATGTCTTGAGCCATAGATCAGGAAGCGAAGATCATTAGCAAAAATATTTTAATATTTAATTTTTTTGCATTTCAATGATTGACGCCATTTGCATCATCCATCTTTGACAATTTTCGTACGGCTGCGCTGAACACTATTCCCACTGCATCATTTAGGAGTATCGTCATATTAGAGACGATAAATGCAACTACGCGCGATCATGTCTTTTCAACTACATGACGCCACATGGTCATTCAAACTACATCATAAGGAGGACAGTGGCGCAGTGAACAAATAATCTACTTTGCACCCCTGTACATCAGAGATGCCAAGTTCAAATACCATACGAGGCATAAACTAATCAACTAATCAATACGTAATTCGCAAGGAATCCCATGTCGATTTGTTCCTCCGTGTAACTAGCCACGAAATGGGCAGCAAGTCGTTGAACTGTGAACACTAGTAGACAGTTGTCGACAGCATGGCTTTTCCTGCAGTCATGCCAAAGGGTGTAACACTTCGGCCACGCATCTGCTGCGTGTGCCTTACGGCTGCAGTTCGCCTCAACAAACCTGCCAACTGTTTGAAAGGCAGAACAGTATTTTTTACCCTAGAAGCCTGAAATTAGAATATTAAGACATATCATTCATACTAAGAATTAAACTAACAGATGACACATCACTACAGAACGTTGAGTCATTATCTCATAGATATCTTTCACGTTAAATCTGCTGGCAATGTTAGGCCGTTGCTGTGATCGTTTACAGACCTTATGCCTATGTTAAGCCTTACGGCATAAAATGACCTACCCAGCCCCTGCAGAGGGAACCTCAAAGTCAAATAGTTCAGCCCTGAAGAAAGCCCATGAGATGCTAGCCGAAATATCAGCATATCGAAATGTCTAGCATCCGACAGACCAATTCTTTGCGTTGTGCATAAATAAGCTGTCGCGTTGTATTTCGGCATGATTATCAACCAGCGAACAAAACATCTCATCGTTAACTTCACTACCTACATAAAAAAGATGAAAGACAAGCGACTCTAGTGAATGATTATGGCCTTTCCAACCTGCTGGCTTTCGATTGACGATTCAGTTCGACTCACCAAGCTGCATTTAGTATGTGTAGTTCATACAATTGTTACATTCCACTTCCTGAAGACGGAAAGCATGACGTGAAGCATAAGAAAATATGCAGACCATAAGTTACATATAAGCTGTCATCTCGTAAAAATGGCTTTACCAAATTTTCCGCTGAACTTATAAAACTCGATTTTCATTTGCAATACCAGGCATTATACCAAGCATTAGGTCTTTTTGGTCTAAATTCAGCATTCCCTTCTCAGAGAGCAGCAGAATGGGTTCGCTTGAATGACTGGCCAACTGAGGGCAAAATAGTTTTCATTGATCTTGAAATACATCTATTTAAGAGAAGGAGGTTCTTGCAGAAAATGGGCTCTCCAGATTATTAGTCATCGCTCACATTAATCTTTATGAAAAAATAGGAAAGAAATCACTTTAGCATGTTTCCTACACTTTAAACTGAGACAGCCCAAACTGGCGGCTATTCCTGGATAATCTGAACGAAAAATACAGACGACTGATGATATCAAGAAATGAAGAGAACATAATTTCACACCTTTTGGTAAGTAAAGACCCGTAAATTCGATGTAATAACTTTAACAAAATGTGCGTGTTCAAGATATTGTCTCTCTGATCAAAAGATGTCATCTAATCTGCAATCTCTTCTGTCAATTGTTTGATAAGTTGTCATGCCAAGAAAGCAAATTTCCGTACTACACACGTTGCACAATGCTACAAATGAGTGGCATGAACGAATAGGTGAATCGAAATCTGGTTCTTTGTATTAATTTGCTGCATGTATTAAACAAAAACTATCATCATTAAAATTTGATACGTTATGCTATTGAAAACAAGTAGCAATTCGCGGATCATATTCTCTGGAAAGATACCAAAACTGAAATTTGATGCAGTGAATTTTAATTCATACTGGTAATCTGCTTGTACCTCTACTCATACACATGAGCTCGAAGGCGATCACCAGTCTGTTAATGTTTAGCTACAAATGCGAAGCTACCGTCGTTAACTTCAACTGTTTAATTTTACTTCATACATTTTAACGTAACTGTACATATTGCTATGCCATCTTACTCTTCTTGCACTGCCATCTAATGCCACAACGGACCACTTTCTTTGAATTTTCATTTTCCGCTACTTGAAAACGTGCGTCAATTTGGAATCGGTAGGTGAGCACATTTCAGACGCTAAAATTTGAAACGATATCGGTATTTGGGAATCTACGGCCGCATGGCAAAAAGCCCTCGTCAGAAAGAAGATTTAGCCGTGCAAAATGCAGTTGTCTTGTATTCTCTTAACAAGCTGCTGATCAATCACAAGCAAATTAATCTCTACCCAAACAGAATCATTTTAGAATTATCTGGTTGCATAAACTAACCGACGATGATGTCGTCTAACAATTTCACCTGCTACAGCTATGACAGTCATTCAATGAAGAAAAATGCTGATGAGGAATCATAACATGGCTTCATAAAGTATGCTGAATCAGCCCTGTGCACCATTAATAGTTCTTGCTGACAGCAGTGGATACTTTCTGGCTGAATGCCGACAAAGATTTCCTAAATTCTATGAATTCACACTTCACTGTATCATATACGTTGCATTTAACAGCCCGTCTTTCAAACAAAACTGTCATAACTACACCACACAATCTAGCCTAGTTCTAGTAGGAGACATGAACTACAGCGACGTCGGGTTTCTAACATCCTTGGAATTGTGAGACAGTCAACTTTTTTTTCATCTTGCCTAAATATAAGCCTAGATAAAAATGTTATCAACGCCGAATCTACTTGCTTGCAACAAAGCACACGTTTTTGATAGAACCGTCTCACCCAATCTTCACAGAGTTCATATCCTGTGTCACAGCTGACACTGTTCGCAAGACTGGACAATTAATGCCTCCGAGAAGGAGCAGCACGCGGCACAGCAAGGATACGCCAACCTGAGAGTCAGAATGTACCGGCATCAACAAAGAAAGACACTGCACACTCGATGAACAGGCGAGTCAAGCAGGAATTAATCGTCCAGTCCGGTCCGAGGACAATGTCAGCCGTGATAAAGAACACGAATCCTGCGTGAACTGGATGCACCTTGTCTCCTCAAAAAACTATTTAAGCAGCAGCATGGACGAAAATCTTGCACTCTGGCTCCAGACTCATAGATCGCTGCGGACAACAAGAAAAATCTTATTAATTTTACTAATATCCCTTCTTGAAAAAGGTTCAGAAGACATCAGTAAACGTCAGTCATTCGAGTCGCCATATAACTTTTTGCCTAGTTTATTAATAAGCCATGTTTTATGCTGTTATTAATAAGTCCACCAACGCTTGAACAAAATTCTATACAGTATTTCGGAGATAAGCAAAAACCGGCATACCAGCGGCAAGTGACACAGCTATCGCCTCACGATTGCACGATGCCAGAAACGAAATCCCGTAAATCAGGTTGCGTCTCTTGTCGTTCGACCTCTTGACATCGATCGCCATTCGAGTCATGAACGAAATCGTCTCAGGACCTACATCCGCTGGTCGGACGTAAGGTACGTCCCCCATGTTTTCGACGATCAATCCATCCTGTGAATCAAACTCTTAGATGCGCAATGATCAGAACGTTGCTGTACCACTCCTGCATCTACATATAATCGACTTTCCTGCACAGCTACTTTGGATATCGATTCTAAATCAAGTCGACTCTGAGGTGTCCTACAAATATTGTGACAGATTTACGAGATGAGCAGACTAACTCAAAAATGAAACCGAAACTGTCCAAAATTGTAAACACAATGAAACAACGGTTGGCATAACACGGCCTGATTTAGCACGGACAGTTAGAAGAAATATCGTGCTTAAATGATATGAGAACTTTATATTAACCAGCTGAAAACAGGAGCTATTAAGAAACGTTATTCATCACTACTGCTAGCAAGAATAAAACGAATTAATACAGCATACCGGCAACGCTCCGAAAGAGCTACTTAAGCAGGTCATGGCATCATAGCAACTGCAAATAAGAATGCAAAAGCGAAAGCTTTGTTGACTATTCAATTAATTCGTGTCTTGAAAGTACTCGCAATGTTTATTAAAGCATTTGGTATGTCTTCCAAGTGAAACGAGGCACTGGTTTCCTTAAACTTTATACATGATTTATTGAAATAAATATATATTCTATTTTGATTAATAGTTAACAAAAATGAGACGGATTAACGAGTGCGCAATCACTGTACAATCGGGAGCAAGATCAGCAACGATTCTACATCGCAAGGTGATCAATCATCGGCAGAAACAGCCCAGCTAAATGTATTAGTC